GTGGTGACAGGGCAGGCCTGAAGTGAGGGTGGAGCACTATGGACATGTCCAGCTTGGGTCTGGGCCTGGCCTGCCTGGAGGGGCTGACAGGTTCCCAGGAGAATCACTTAACCGTGACCATGAAAGAAGATGCAAAGATCGGCAGGTAAACCCCACCTATTTATTGACTATGGAGAAGCCAAAAGCCACAACATAGGAACTTGAAAAAGAGCCCAGAATCTTTCTCTACCCTCCCAAATCCTGCTTTTCCATAAAGTCTTCCCCCGTGAAAACACTTCCCACAATGGGGTGGGGCACCCCGACAGCCTCAGAAACCTGTATGGTGAGCGGAGGTAGTCTGGGAAGTTCACTACCAGCCCCATCCCAGGTGGTCTCCTAGTCCGGTTCCCGGGGTTTAGATGAGTCCACTCAGCAATTACTTTTTGAGCCTCAGTGGTGTGTGCTAAGCACTGTGGGGACAGAGAGACCTGCAAAGCTGCCCACCCCTTCCAGGAGCTCCCGGGGCCCATGTATGGTGTTAACAGGGAGGAGAGGAAGGGAACAGTACAGACTGTAAGGCCATGAAGACCCCAGGGGACAGATGGCTTTGGCCTGGGGCCATCATGGAAGGCTCTCAGCATGCATGAATGGATGGGACTTCAGTGATAGGACTCGTGGTTTGGGGAGAAGGGGGATAAAGCAGGAATATGGCTGGAAAGGGGGGAAAGGGCCTTGAATGCCAGGACAAGGTGTAGCATTGGGACCACCCATCCTGGGGCTCCTGCAGTGCCATACTCTCCTTCATGGTCCCTTGAAACAGCCCTGGACTGGAAGCACACTGGACAGCACACTACCTTCAACTCACCGTGTGGCCCAGAGGTATTCCTTTCCCTCTCTGTGCCTCAGTTTCCCCATCTGCACAATAAAGGGGGAGGGTATCTGAGTCTCTTCTGGAAGATCTTTGGAGAGATCCCTGAACAGTTCCCCGTTCAGACCAAAGGCAGCAGATAGAGCTGGCTGACTGTGCGCTCCCTGGGCGACGTCCAACTATTATGCTCATTGGGGGAGGTCTGACTCTGTGCTCACTGGAGATGCCTGACTGTGCACTCACTGAAGGATGTCTGACTATGTGCTCACTGAGGGAGGTCTGACTGTGTGCTCACTGAGGGAGGTCTCACTGTATGCTCACTGAGGGAGGCCTGACTATGTGCTTACTGGAGGAGGACTGTGCGCTCACTGGAAATGCCTGACTGTGTGCTCACTGAGGGAGGCCTGACTGTGTGCTCACTGGAGCAGGACTGTGCGCTCACTGGAAATGCCTGACTGTGTGCTCACTGGGGGAAGCCTGACTATAAGCTCGATGCACATCTCAGGTGTGTCACTCACTTGACCAAGAACAGTGCCTTTATGGACGCTCCCTGGGCTTCCCAGGCCAGGACACTGGGGGAAAGCCATGACCCACCCCCCTACCCCCGTGGAGGGTCTCCCACCTCTCTGCGTCCCTAGTGCTGACATGGGACCTGGCTCTGACTGCATACTCCCTCAGCCCCAGGGCTCCGCCCCCCCACCGCAGAGAAGTTTCCAGTCTGCACAGAGACCCCAGCAGCCAGTAGGGTTGCTGGGATTGTTCCCTTGTGAGCAGTGGGTTTGGGAGCCGGAGATAGGACATGTGGATCTCTCCCCAGATGTGACCTCCAACCCCTCGTGTCTCCACAGAGATTTACTGCCCTTCACGTTGAGGCTGCCACAGGCCATCCTTGAGGCCAGCAGCTTTGCAGACCTCAAGACCATCTCCAACCTGGGCCTCGGTAAGTCCTTTCCAAGGGTCAGGGGAGGTGGCAGGGCTTGAGGAAATGGGCCCTAGAACTGTCCCTGCTGACCGCCTGTGCAGAGGGATGGCCCCTCGGGCTGAGACCATGCTGGATGCTGAGTCCCAGCTCCCACAGAACCACCTGCACCCCGGCCCCAGGCTGCTGAGCACCTAAAGCAGGGAGATTCAAAATGACACCTTTTAACGGCTGCCCAGGAGGTCTGATGCGCGATCTTGTCAGGTCTGAGGGAGCTGGGGCTGGTCAGGGCCAGCACAGCTGACCTATGTATTGTCAGGTTATGGCTCTGGGAGAGGCAGAACCAAACACCAAGGTCCTTCTCAGCAGTGGCCAGAGAGATGGGTGCCAACAGCCTCCACAATCCCAGCCCCACCCTTATCAGAAGGAATGGCAGCGTGAACATGATCATGAGCTGAAGTGTGCCCCCGCCCCCCTCATCTGCCCCCTGCCCAACCAACTGACCCTGAGCACACCCCACCCTGCCCCTTACCCCTCTGACCTTTGGAGGGATGAAGAAGGGAGAGGAAATGTAAGAAGAAAAAACAAGAGTGTTTCTGATCCCAGCCCTTCCACATAATAGCAAGAAGTGCTCTGCAAGGGTGAAATTGACCAGCGCTGACCCCTGACTCAGGCTTCGCCATGCTTGCCCTCGGAAAGCCAGACCAGCCCCATCTGAGGGCTCCACCTCCTAGGCAGAAGGCAGGCTATGTTGACGAACAATGCAGTTAATCCATAAGTCTTTATCAAGACTAAACCGCCCTTGGGACCCTGCACTACGCACGGCTGAGCGCAGTGCCTGGGACAGGGCAGTGCCCTGTTCACCAGTGCTGGTAGAATGGAAGAAGCGATGACTGAGAGGGCAGGACCAGGCCGGAGAGGAAGTTAGGGGCAGACCTGGGATCAGAGAAGACACCCTCTGGTGCCCAGGCCAGACCTCTGTCTACCACCCAGATGGGCCTCCGAACAGCAATGCAACAGATGCCACAAGGAAGCTCATGGTCAAAGATGAGGAAGTAGGACTCGTCCAGGCCCTGTGCTGAGATCTAACCGATTTACCTGTATTGACTCATCAAATCTTCAAACAGCCCTATAAAGTAGGTTCTATTATTGTAATCCCTCCTTTATGGCAGAGGAAACTGAGGCACGAGAGGTTAAGTAACACGCCCAGTGTCACAGTCCGTGGCACAGCGGGGATCTGAACCAGGGGGTTACCTGCAGCCCCCTTCACTCTCTTGCTGCCCCTTAACTCATTACCTGGGCTCTCCTAGGTCTGATTTGCCCAGTTTATAAACCTCAGGACCAATTTTCAGTGGATATTGGAAATAAACACTGAACTTCACCTCCAGATATTTTAGTTATTGGGCTCTTACCCTCCCAGAAGTTTGCATGTAGAACGGTGACAGTTTTGTAACTCACACAGTCCAAATGACATCCCCCCTGAGGTCTAAAATGGCACGGATGACACTTTCATTACAACGCACTTAGCACTGTCTTGTGTAATCCTTGTGTGCCCATTTTAAAGATAAAAAAAATCAAGTTTTAGGACAGCTGAAAACCTTGTCAAGTTACCCCAGACGGGACAGGAACAGAGCTGGGACGTGCACCAAGGGCTTTCAGACTCCACAGGCCACCTCCCCCCTGCCTTTCGGCTACACCCCGTGACCTTCTCGGTTGTCTTCGCAAGGAGCAGTCAGCGTCCAGTTTGAGGCCAAGTTGGTAAGACCAGTGTGATGGATGGGCTCAGCCTGGGGAGGCTGCCGTCTGAAAGGAGGGTCAGTTTGCAGCAGCCCATGGCCCCCCTGTGGGGCTCAGGCAGGCCTCCCCGGGACATTGCTTTCTGGAATACACAGGCCCTTCTCTCCTGGGAGAGTTTGACCTCAGGCACGATGAAGTGAGGAAGGGAGACCACCATCTGGGAAGCCAGTGGCAGTTCAGATAAGTCTGTCAGCACTTTCTTCCTTGAGAAGGGAGTTTAAGTGACACCCTTATAGGGACCCGTCAGCTTCGGAACCATAAGGCTCTGATTAGACCTGGTGTCCAAGGGCTGAAGGACATCAAACAAGGGTCATCAGAATGGTTTTTCCCTGGTTCCGTCCATCCCCAGCATGGATGGAGAAGGAAAAGCAGAGTGAACGTGATCAAGCTGAAGTGTGCTCTGCGACGTGCAGGCCTGGGCCTCGCTGCCCGAACCCTGCAGTAGGGATGATAAATATGCAACAAGCAGCATTTGCCAAGGGCCAGGACACACAGCACTGTGCCCAGCCTGTCGCGTATTATTCTAGACAAGGCCCTTGCATGGCAGAGAACTGAAACCCACTAAAGCTGGCACAGATTAAAGAGGACGTAACAAAGGGACACTGGGGAATCTCCCAGAAACGGAGCAGAAGGTCAGCGGGCTCTTGCAGGCAGCAGTAGCAGTTCCCCACAGACACAGGCCAGGTCCTGGCAGCCGCACCTAGCGTCCCCGTTTACTCCCGGTTCCTGCTCCCTCACTCCTCCAGCAGCCAGGCACGGCCCCCGGCCCCCGGCCCCACCTCATGGTCTTGCCGCTGCAATAAGTGTATGAGGCATACACGTTTCCTATCACTGGTGTCAGCAGTGTCCTTTTTCTGGCATTCGACTCACTTTTTACAAAATAAGCAGAACGTAATAAATATCTGAATAGTTACACAAGGCCTGCTGTTCAGACACAGATGATGTCACTGAAACGGAGCTATTGGTTTGCAGGCTCAGCACCAGAGCATTCACTCGTGAGCTGACATAAGAAAGTCCAAGTTCGGCCTTGGAAAAGCCAACGTTTGAAAGGGCAGGCTATGTAAGAGTAATCGTGGGGCTACAAAACTAACGTAGGGAGCAATTCAGCACTAAACTATATGCCGTTCGTTGATCCTAAGCGCAAAAGGAATCAAGAGAAAGCTGTGGTCACTAAGGGTTAAATTTGCAGACGTCCTCAGACACGTTTGCCATGCACATAAGTTTAATACTTTAAAAATATGTTTAGAAAAGGTATATGTTTTATAGTTCATTCAAGTTTCCGTTGTCATTTGTTTTTTCCTTTATATAGTGAGAATTTTCCTACTTATTAAAAATTCACTGAAAGCCCGAATTTGAATGACTGTCCAGCAGCCCATCTTTGGGATGCCACAAAAATACTGATTCACTGAACTCATTGGACTTTTGAGCTGTTTCCATGGTATCCAGAATACTTTGCTGCATTTACTCAGTCCCCTCTCTGTCCTGCCATGAGCCCGGGCTCCCCAAGAATGAAACTTCATCACCTGTGCCCCCAGGACGTATATCCCAACACCTGGCCCAGCTCAGGCCCTCTGAGGATTGTAGGAGTGGACACCGGGCAAGAGGTATCTCCAGTCAAGGTCGAGGAGGTCACAGAGCCAGTAAAACTCTCCCCAGCCCAGAGGCGGTGAAGGCAGGGGCTCTGAGGGAACAACGGCCGCTAAGCCAAAGCCTGGCATGGTGCCATCAGGCACAGACGCCCACAACTTTGTCAACCACTAGGATTGCATGACGATGTTCTGCTTTTGCTCTGGCCTCGGCATTCTGCAAGCTGCAGAGAAAGTAACCTACTTCCTTTTTTTCTTTTTTTGTTTTCTGTGAGCATAAAGCCCTATGCTGCCACTGCGATTCCTCAACAGGCCCCCAGCGCCCTGAGATACAGCCCCTCAGGGCTCATAGTCCCCCGCCCCTCTGAGTCTCAGGAGCAGGAAAGCAGTTCCTAGTCACCCAGGCCCCAGCCCGTTTCCCTGAACCCAAGTTCTGCTCCACACCTGCTAGAATCCAAATCTGAGCCATGGGAAATGTGTGTTGTGTGTTTGGTTGTTTGTTTCAATCCGTGCACGATGGCCTCTCCCTGCTGTTCTGAGGCAGGCTCTTCATTCGGTGGCCTGTCCACTTACGGAGCTCCGCGACTCTCCTTTCCGTTTCCCTCCTCTCATTTTCTCGTCTTTTCATTCTCTGGCCTTTAGACATCCTCCCATGGCTCAGGCCACCCTCACATCGCCATCAACACTAACCTTGCCGGTGCCCCACTGCTCAGGACGCTGCCTCTCCACTCTGGCTAAGCTGATCCACTCATGAGCACTAAAGGGTTGAAGAAATCCTCAGGTGGATGAAGCACTGTTGGCACCTTCTGGAAACCCTGAGTCGGGGATGGGGGGAAGCCAGACAGAACCAGAGACTGACGGTCCCAGCGATGGCCACTCTGGTCACAGCTGGGAGCACAGAGGAGGGGAGGGGGGGGGCCTGAATAGGTCAGGAAGACTCCACCAAACAGGTAACATTTGACCCCAGTCTTGCAGGATGAGTAAGAGTTTGCTATGTGGAGAGTGTGGGGAAAGCATTTCAAGCACTAGCCAAGACTGAAGGTGGGGCAGCCCGTGGCATGTTCAGGCAGAAGTGAGCAGCAGAGAGTGGGCTGAAGACTCAGAAGGTGGTGCTAAAAAAGATGTACAGATTCAGATCCACAGGCCTTGGATGCCAGGCTAAAGCCCTGGCAGTGATTCTGAACAAATAGCAATCAAGGCCCTACTATGTGGTGCCACATGGAGGAAAATGGATGGGGGGTGGGCGTGGGGATGCAGGCAATGGCCATCAGCTAGGTGAACAGTAATAAGAATGCCCAGGCGTGGGTGGGCAGTTATTTAGCATCTATCACAGGACGTCCACCTTCACCCAAAGCAAAGATGTATGCGAACTTGGAAGTGACCTTAGGGGGCTGGAGGGGGCTCAGCTTCTATATGGAGCTGCCTGCTGCTCCTCGCTAGGAGAACTTCCAAGGAGACACCTTTATTGGGCCTGTGTAGACAGGGCACAGTGCTTCCACTGCTCACTCCCCAGAGCCAGAGCAGATGTGTGCTCGATGCCAAGCATCTGGGAGAGGGTGTCAGTCATGAAGGGGTCAGTAGCTGCTCAGAAAAACCAAGTGCAGGGCCCAGGCAGCCATGAGGAACAGCTCACCCGGGTCTTAGGGGAGCCCGGAGACACCCACTCCCGGCACTCTTTCCTCAGGTAGTGGCTGTGATGTGCACAGAGCTTTGCAAATTAGAAAGGGTCACATGAAAGTTTGTCATCCTTGTTACTGTGGAGACAGCTGGCTGCGACACCCAGGCTGCCAGACACAGGGTCTCTGCCCAGGACGGAGCTGAGCCCTGAGCCCGAGGTCCTCCCCGTAATGGCCCTGCCTCAGAGGGGATGCACACAGCTCACTTTCAGTCTGTTTCCCAGCAGCCCCTGGGATTATGCCCTGCTCACCGTAATTGGGTTATCGACCCCCTGGCCAGCAAGGGGGCAAACGCCCACACCCCTGAGAGTACCCATCTCTTAGGGCAGGCACGCACAGGCTGCCCTCGGCCATCTTGTGGTGTCTCCTTTCTGTCAGTATGAAGATCCTGCTGTGTCCTTACCACATCACCAGTTCTGGGGTGCACACCACCCTGCAGTCACTCATGCTGGCAGAGTGACCGAGATAGGAAGTGTCGCAAGTTCCAATGAAGGAAGGCCGCAGCGGCTGAGCACACAAGCTTTAGAGCTCATCTGACCTGGTTCAAATCCCAATCAACCTGGTGACCTTGGGCAAGTGCTTCACTCTCCCTGGGTCTCTTTACCTTACAGGGACAATGTCAGGTCTTACACCAAGTGCCTGTGGTCAGGGGTCAGCGAGATGATCCAGGTGTGAGAGACCCCCACACCTGAGCTCCGTGTGTGTTTGCTCCTGTATGGCCCTCATGTGATTTTTGGGAGTTCTCTTACTGATGAATTGCTCCCAGAAGTAAGGAGCTCTGGGTGCAAGTCTAGAGGCCTGCCCGCCCCCCACCACTAACAAGGCAGTCTGCACTATGGATCTCCAAAATGAACAGGGAACAAGGCATGGGTTCCCTGTTCCAGGAGCTGCTTAAGCGAGCTCAAGTGGCTGCAAGCTAACGGAAATTGTATTCAAAACACTGTGTTCTGTGCCCTTTTTAGAGGGTCCTAAGCTTTTATCGGATTCTCCACAGGGCTCAGTACCCAGAACTCAAGAACTCGTGAACTAGTTGACCCCCAACACCCTTTCGGGTTGGATGTTCCGTGCCCCTCACCCAGAACAAGCCTGGCAGTGACCAACAATGCCTGGATGGGGATAGACATGCTTTGGTGGCTGCAGCCATGGGCTGAGTCCATGAAAGCTAGGTCAGGAGAAAGGCATATGCTGGCACCTTAGCTCAACAGCTCAGGAGCCCCTGCTATCTGACCCCCACCCACCTACCCCCACACTGGGGACATGGGGCAGCTTCCTATTTTAACTTTGAGATTGACCAGAGTCAGAATCATTTTGCAGTGGGCAGGCATTACCCACTTGGATGGTCAGGTCTGAGCTCACTAGCCACAATCCATCCGTTTGTTCTCTCTGCATAGAACTGTGGTGGCCAAAATCGGCCCAAAGCACCTGTGGAGACCCCCATTCTAGAGATGATGAAACGGAGGCCCAGGAAGGTCCAGTGAGCACCCAGCTGGTCATCTGCAGGAACTCTGGGCTTTCTGTCCCCTCTATCCCCACATGGCCTACACCCTGTGTCACTGGTGCCCTCCATGCTGGGCCCTCCCATGCCAAGGCACAGAGCTGAAGCTGAGCCTGTCACCCCCACCCCCTGGCTCCACCCCCGCACTGTGGAGGAGGACCTGGCGGGGCTTCCCCTCTAGAGGCAGGAAGTGGTGGTAGAGGTTTAAAACAGTCCAAGAGGGGAAAACAGCTCTGGGAGCAGTGAGGTAACCGGCCGTGATGGCCCTCCCCTCGCCCTGTCCCCTCCCTGTCCGCACCACCACCCCTGGCGGAGCAGGAGGTCCAGCTCCAGGACTGACCGCCTCTTCCTCTCTTGTTTCTACAGGCTTCTGGGACTCCTCACTGAACCCCCAGCGAACAGGTGGGAGCGCAGCGGAGCCCCCAAGAGATGCAGCCCCCGGAGCACCCCCAGCCTCCAGCCTCAGGTCCGCTCCCCATGACGAAAACTGCTCCTGTGAAATTGAGCTCTCCGTAGGAAGTGACCGCCTGTGGTTTGTGAATCCCGTTTTCATCGAGGACTGCGGCAGTGCCCTGCCTGCCGACCTGCCACCCCCTGGAAGCTGCCCCTCGCGCCCGCTGCCTCCCACCTCAGACGCTACCTCACCCACCTCCAGGTGGGCCCCTCGACGCCCAGCGCCCCCTCCCCCAGCGCCCACTCTGCATCCCCCCAGCCCGGCCCGGCCACCTCCGCCCCCTGCTGCGGCTCCGGCCTGTCCTTTGCCCAGTTCTCCCCCAGTGGCTGCTTCCACGCCTCCAGAGGGCCTTCCTCCTGCAGCCCCAGCATCTGCCCCTCAGCTGGCACCCCATGCCCCAGGTCCCCCAGACCATCCAAGCCAGCCACCCATGACGGCCTGCGAGAGGCTCCCATGCCCCCCAACAGACCTGGGTCCCCTCGGGGAGGAAGAGATGAAGCCGAAGGCAACACCCAGCCCCGTGCAGCAGGCCCCCGCCCCTCCAGGACCAGGGAAGAAGGGCCTCCCCGCCGCTCCTCCCAGGCGGCGACTCTCCGAGAAGGCGTCCCTGGAGGACCAGAGTGCAGGGAAGGTGGTGGACAGGGGCACGAAGGCAGAGGGGGACCAGCTGGGGCTTTCCAGGGCATCCCTGCTCAGCCTGCCTCCCCAGGAGAACTCAGACAGTGCTGGGGACAGGCTTCAGAGGACCGCAGAGCGAGGCCAGGAAGCGGTGGCCAAAGACAGTGATCTGGGCAGCCTGCCAGAGTTACCAAAGAAGATCCGGCAGCCCCCAGTCCCGCCTCCCAGGAAGAAACGGATCTCCCGGCAGCTGGCCTCGGTCCTCCCAAGCCCCTTGGAGATCACGGAGCTCTCCGCAGAGGAGGTAGCCCCTGAGAAACCCACCCCTGGCCCACCCGGGGAAGGCCAAAGCCCTGTCTCCCAAGCCAGGACTCAGAGCCCACATGCCAAGGCCGGCGACCAACCCCAGAGCGCTCCAGAGTTCAAGGGCTCCCTGGCTTCCCTCACGGACAGTGGGGGAGTACCCGCCTGCGCCACAGATCAAGACTCCTACTCGACTAGCAGCACGGAGGAAGAGCTGGAGCAGTTCAGTAGCCCCTGTGTGAAGAAGAAACCCTCCATGATCCTGGGCAAGGCACGGCACCGCCTGAGCCTCGTGAGCTTCACCAGCGTCTTCCAGGCCTTCCTCTCCAATGACCGCAAGCTGTACAAGCGGGTGGTGGAGCTGGCCCAGGACAAGACCTCGTACTTCGGCAACCTGGTGCAGGACTACAAAGTGTACAGCCTGGAGATGATGGCGCGCCAGACCTCCAGCACCGAGATGCTGCAGGAGATCCGCACCATGATGACCCAGCTCAAGAGCTACCTGCTGCAGAGCACCGAGCTCAAGGCGCTGGTGGAGCCTGCCCTGCACTCCCAGGAGGGACTGGGTCAGTCCTGGGCGCCGCCTGGGTCAGTCCTGGGAGGGAGTGGGGTCAGTCCCAGGCGGTGGGGGGTGGGGGGCGCATTGGAGGGGTCATCCTAGATAAGCCACCCTTTCCCCAAACTAACCCAACTAACAACTTCGCTGTTCTGCCTCGTGCTTCCGAGTTCTGCCCATGTGCCCAGTTAGATGGTGGAAGAACCTCAACCCATATAAGTGGTCGGGCAGGATGCCACCCTCAGGATACTCCTGGTTTCCTTAGGGAGACAAGTCACAAGGGGCAATTTGAGGCACACGAAGCACGAACACATGTGGCTGCTGAGGGCCAGTCAGTGTGTGCAGGACACGCGAAGGCTCTCAGAGATGCAGGAGCCCTGGGGGGCAGGGCCACAGCCCTCTCATTTCGCTTTTGAGGAAACAATAGCTAAGACCCTCCCCCTGAGGACAGGGTAGTCAAAAAGACTTCCCAAGGATATTTCCCTCCTGGCACCCAAGGCAGCTGAGCATCGCCCTGGTGTCAAGTAGATATGAGTTCGCATCCTAACTAGCTGTGTGACCCACATCATCAGAGCCCGGGCTGGTCCACCTGTAGAGTGGGGATGATGGCATGTAGGTTGCAGAGTAGCTGTGAGGTCAAAGCTGACTGACTCCCATTCCCCTAGAGCAGGGGTCGGCAAACTGCAGCTCGCGAGCCCCATGCGGCTCCTTGGGTACGTTCCGTCTCAAAAGTTTGCCGAGCCCTGGGAGAGCCAATCCTGTCCCTCACAACAATTTAAAAATGATTCGAGAGCCATAAATATATTTTTACAAATAAGGAAAATTTAAAGTAATATTATAAATGAAACTATGATAGTTTTATTTTCATTTTCAATTTTGCTCCAGAGCCACATGCACATACCCAAAGAGCCGCCTGTGGCTCGCGAGCCGCACTTTGCTGACCCCTGCATTAGGATGTAATATATCAGCCCACGGGCTCCTGTCCTAGTGCCCTCTCCGTGTGGCTTCTCACGTGTACCTGCTGGGGCTATGAATATGTTTGTCCGGGGATCAGAAGATGGTGATAGTCAAGCAACATACTGTCAGACAACAAGGCCTGGTGGCACTGATGTTCTCACCACCCCCCACTCTCGCCCTCCTACAGAAGCGATTGTGGAGTCCGCCTTGTACAAGTGTGTGCTGAAGCCCCTGAAAGAAGCTATCAACGCGTGCCTATATGAGATCCACAGCAAGGACGGCTCGCTGCAGCAGCTCAAGGAGAACCAGCTGGTGATCCTGGCCACCACCACCACCGACCTGGGCATCACCACCAGCGTGCCGGAGGTGCCCATCATGGAGAAGATCCTGCAGAAGTTTGCCAGCATGCACAAGGCCTACTCGCCTGAGAAGAAGATCTCCATCCTGCTCAAGACCTGTAAGCTCATCTATGACTCCATGGCCCTTGGCAACCCAGGTAGGTGGACAACCAGAGGGGCCTGCACTGGGGTCTCTCTCCTGGCTGCGATATTATGTGGGTCTGGGACGCCTCCCCCACTGAGGCCTCCAGAGCCTCTGGAAGGCACTAGAGCAACCTTTACAGATGAGGCCTGCTGGGGCAGAACTGGGCGTGATGGGGATGGAATTCCTGGGCACCTCTCAGGGGCTACCTAGGCACCAGGAGGAGGGCCACAGTTGGCTGGAGGCAGGCAAGGAAGCCAGCTCATACTATACCTTTGTGTGAATTACGAAAAGGCACTATATTAGTTTCCTAGGGCTGCCGTAACGAAGTACCACAAACTGGGTGACTTCAGCCACAGATTTCTGTGAGATATTCTCTCACAGTTCTGGAGGCTGGAAGTTTGAGGTCAAGGTGTCAGCAGGCACATGTTCCCTCCGAGACTCTAGGGAAGGTTGTGCTCCAGGCCTCTCTCAGCTCCTGATGGTTCCTTGGCTCGTGGCAGCACAACCCTAGTCTTCACATGGCATTTCCCCTGTGTGCGTGTCTGTGTCCAAACGTCCCCTTTTATAAAGGCATCAGCCATATTGGATTAGGGCCCGTCCTACTCCAGTGTGACTTCATCACAAGCAATTATATCTGCAGCAATCCTATTCCAATAAGGTCACATTCCAAGGTACTGAGGGTTAAGATTTCAACATATGAATTTTGGAGGGACATAACAGCCACCTAAATCAGTTAGCATTTATTACTGCTCACAAGCCAGTTGGGCAGTTATGCTGGTCTGCTCAGGCAGGTCTGAGCTTGGCTGGGCTAGCTTGTGGGACTGTGGTCAGAGGGGATTGTTTGGAGGCTGGCTGGTCTAGGATGTGGCTCAGATGTGGGGTGGTTGACTGGCTGTTGACTAGTCTGGAATGGGGGTGACTGGGCCGTGCATTTCTTCATTCTCTGGCAGGTTAGCCCAGACGTGTGCCCATGGTAGTAGTTGGTGGTCCAAGAGAACAGGCGAAGCCTTGAGGTCTCTCAGGGCCTGGGCTGGGACTGGTATGACACCGCTCTGACATGTTTCACTGACTTGTTGAGTCACATAACCAGCCCAGAATCAAGGGGTGATGAACCAGACTTCCCCTCCTGGTGGGAAGAGCTGCACATTGCACGGGGTACAAATGTAGGGAAGGGACCCACTGAGACTGTTTGTGATCCGTGGATCGCAGCACTCCTCCAGGCAAACAAGAATAGGCATCACAAGGCATCACAGCACCGTGATGCACACCTTAGCGAACAGAACGCTGGCTGGACTGTATCCCCAGTCACCCTCTCAGTTGGATGGGTGTGTGCAGTAAGCAACCTGTGTAACTGTACATGTGGTAATGGAGGGTAGAAGGATGATGGAGAGTAGCCACACCGGCTTGAATTCAAATTCCTGATCTGTCACTTACTACCTGTGTGACCATGAATGATTTACTTAACCCCTTAAGGCCCAATTTCTTCACATGAGGAAGCTGTTTTACAAAGAGGGGAAACTAAAACCCCTAATGGTGAAGAAGCCACACTCAGTCACTTGTGAATATTATAAATGGCAGATGTAAAATGTCGATCTCAATCCACAGCACCTCACAGGCTCCACCAATGGTGGCTGTTTTAGAAGAGGGCTTCTCTCCACCTCGCTTAGAGAAGGGCAGGCCAGTTCGGCCACCCGCTAACAGAAAGCATTGTTAGTATGTGACTGGGACGACGGTGCAAAGTCCTCTCACCCTAGAAAAGCTCCCCTCACAGACCTTTCCCGTCTGAACTTCTGAGTTGGGGACTTGCTTCTCCCGGTGCCACGCCAGTGCTCCAGGTGCTCTCAGGGCCAAGGGCTCTGCAGGCCCTGAGATGTTATCGGGGAGGCAGCTTTGGGCCTGAGAAGGGCAGTTCCATTCTCAGCGAGTCCCAGTTTACTCAGAAAGCTTGGTTTTAAACGCCCAATCTCTTGGCAGTAACTTCAAATTACCGAGGGTGAATTTGCTTACTAAAAACCAGACAGCGGGGAATGGGGGACGAATGGCTAATGTTGAGAGAAGAAAGAAAAGAAAGGCAATGGCTTGAGAAGACATCCCTGGCACCGCATGTGAAAGATCGGAGCAGAGCAGGTTGCTCAGTTTCCCCATCCTCGGCGGAGGGAGGCTAGAGTCTCTGTGATGACCCGGACGCTAGCCCCAGAAATTCAGGGTGGGGTCAGGACTCCATGCAGAGTCCCCACCAGGAACAGGTTCTCATCCAGGAACACACAGCATGTTTCCTCCCACTGCTGGGTGAGCCCTGGACTGTGAGAGTCCAGTGGCTCCCAAGCTCAGCACTGCCCTTAGCAGGCCAGGGCTGCCCCACTCAGAGCCTCACCTTCTTCCCCTGGGCGGAAGCAGGTTCTGCCAAGAAGAGCAGGGGCTTTGCAGTCCATTCATGGGCCTGGATTTGACCCTTCAGTGCAGGGGGCAGGAGAGCATATAGAAAACACCCGGATGGCATCAGCCCCAAGGGAGAGACTGACCTTCCTGAGCCTCAGTCTTCTCACCTGTATAATGGGGCTGGGAACACCTCTCAGTGCTGGGGTTTTTTTTTAAGATTTTTATTGGGGAATTGGGGGGATGGGAACAATGCTGGGGAACTGGGGGAAGGGGAACAGACAAGTTGCTGTCGTTTTGTTCTTCAGTCTAGTTGTGGAGGATGTTGCTTCACTGGCCCAAGTTGGCACCATCATTGCTCTCTTCCCAGGCGAGGCACATCAGTCGCCAGCTTCTGGAAGGCCGCTCACGCTGGCTGCTGGCTACACACGGTAGCCCATGGCAACCCACTGCCACAGGGGCTGCAGCCTACGCAGCCTACGCCATCGCTGGCGACTCACGGCAGCCCAGCTCCAGGTTGCGCTGTTGTTCAGCATCTTAGCTGTAGAGGGCAGTGTCACTGGCCCTCATGTGGGATCCGAACCAGGGCCCTCTGGCGTCCCAAGCCAGCTCTTAACCAACGCGCCACTCGGCTGGCCCTCTCAGTGCTGTTTTGAGAATCAAATGCAAGCAAGTGTGTGTGTGAGTGTCCAGTGAAGATTAGGGTGCAGGAATGACTGCCTCCCCACCGTATTCCCGAGCACGTAGAGGCTGAACCCTCTCAGTGGTTTCCAAGCTGGGTTCCAGGAGGCACCCCAGGGGCCACCAAAGGAACACAGGGCACGTTGGGCTCCACGCTGGCTTCACCCCAGACAACCCTGCTTGTCCTTGTTTTACACACAGGGTTCCGCATGGGACTGTGTGTGAAATAATGGGTTCTGCTACTAAATTTTTTAGCGTTTTGGGATTTTTTTTTAAGCTTTTGTTTGGAAATAATTTGAGACTTCAAAACTTCAAGAATAGAAACAGTACATTAAACTGGGACTATCCGTACCCTTTATGAATGGTTAGTATCTTATTGCATTTGCATTATCATTTAAGCTATCTCTGTGCATTCTTAATTTTTTTCTGAACCATATGAGGGAAAGTTAACATTCATCTGGGCCCTTGACCCCCTAAACACTTTTCTAAGAGTAGGGCTATTCTATTACAGAACCACAGTTAAGTTGTTCCCTTTGTGAATTTTTCTCTAACCCACCATCTGAATTCCAGGTTGTCACTTGATCCTTTTTAGCAGTTCCTCCTCCATTTTTTGGATCCAGCCAGGGGTCAGGGAGTATGTGTAATCTTATGTGTCCTTTACCTCCTTTACTCTGGAACATTTCCAAACCTTTCTTTGTCTTTTATGACATTGATATACAGGAATACAGGTTTCCCTCCCCACCCCCCACTTTTTTTTTTTTAATGAAAGTTCCTTATTTTGTGTTTGTCAGACATTTCCTCATGATGAGGTTATGCATTTTCAACTGACTCTTAAATTCTCAACTGACTCACCCTTAAATTCTCCTCTGACTTTGACATTCAGCGATCTTGTGATCTTAGGACCAGGCCCTCTACACCAAGCATTTAACTCCCTCCTGCCAGAGGCTTCTAGCAGCTTGTAAAGTGTGGTCTGCAGACAGGCAGCCCTGCATAGAAGCCCTAGGAGCTGTCAGCAACCCCATGGAGGACAGAGCTTCAGCTTGGGTTCTGCCTACCTCCACCACTGACCCACTCTAAGCTGAAAACAGCCCTTCCCTCCCACACCCACCCCCACCCGCCCTGCCTCACCCCCTCACCTCTATTGCACAGCGCTGGCAATAGTAACCTGTGGGACCCCCGTGGCCCACTTGTGGCAAAGATAAAATAAGGCCTTGCTGCTGGTGAGACCTGTTGGAACAGCGGGCAAAGGTCTAAACTTGGAGACACAAGGCCTGAGTTAACTGGCCAGGCCATCTTTTCCAAAAAGATTGTTGCTATTTGTGCCCATGATACAGATGGGCCTAGAATTCAAACCTAGAACTTTCTCGCCCCAAAGCTTGTGGGCTTTTATCATAGTTCCAAGCAGCCTAGGAACAGATCCCAAAGTTCCAGCATCCCGATCAAACGCTTCCTCCACTGTAGTGAGTTTCCTGGCCTGAGTCAGGCAGAGTGGGGAGTTCACGGCCACAATGGCTTTGGATAAACTTGGCCCTCCATCCTATAGCCAGGAGCAGACAGGTTTTCTCGTGGATGTCATATGAGGCTTGGTGACACCAGTTAGAACTTCTAGAATCATGTCTCGCATTACTTTGACAAACATGTTACTCCCACCTCTTCAATGTCTAAGACCAGACGTCCAAGGCTGGGCCTGCTATTGGGAGAAATAGATTCAAGCCTAAGAACTCCTTTCTAAGACGGGAGCGGGAGGAAGGAGTGAGGAATGCAGTGTGCACATGTGGGCTTCTTTCTAAAAGAACATAAAGAACCTTCTTCTAACATAGATAAAGAGCAAGCAACATCCAAGCGGGCAGTGGAGGTCAACAGTCTGCCCTTTTTCTATTCCTGCAATAGTCTGTGTAAACACCCTGATATTATACTTCAGGAAATGGAGCCTGGCTCCTGACAGTGGGGCACAGG